TCCCAGCACCACTTGTTAAAGAGGTTGTCACAAAGAACTCTTTTTGAAATTTACTTATCTATTTTTAATTGAAGGATAATTGCTTTACAACATTGTGTTGATTTCTGCCATATATCAACATGAATCAGCCATAGGCATATGTATACAAAGAACTCTTTAAAAAAGAAAAATGAACATTCCAATTAAAATATAGTCAGAAAATTTAAAAGACATCTCCAAAAAAGTTGTGCAGATGGAAAATAAACATATGAAAAAATGCTCCACAACATATATCTTTAGGGAAATACAAACTAAAACAATGATATACTACTACATACATATTAGAATAACAAACAGATAGATAGATAGATAGATACACATCAAGAGCAAAGATGTAGAGCAGCAGGCACTCTCTTATTCATTGCTGATGGGGATGTAAAATGATATAGCTGCTTTTGAAGACATATTGGCTATTTCTTACAAAATTGAGCACACTCTTGCCAAATAATCTAGGAATCATACTCCTTGGTAATTACCCAAAGGAGTTGAAAAGTTATGTCCACACAAAACCTACCCAGGGATGTTCATAGAGGCCTTATTCATATCCTCTAAGCCAAAACTTAGAAGATGAATGCATGAATAAATGCATTTATTTTAGCAAATGCATACATAAATAGTTATACATCAAGCCATAGGATCTTATTCAATGCTAAAAGGAAATGAGCTATCAAGCCATGAAAAGATATGGAAGAACTTTAGATGTATACTGAAAAGTGAAAGAAGCTAATCTGGAAAGTCTACATACTGTATGATTCCAACTACATAACATTCTGGAAAAGTTAAAACTACGTAAACAGTAAAATGATAAGTGGTAGATAGGAGGAAAATAGGGCTTCCCTCGTGGCTCAGATGGTAAAGAATCCACTTGCAATGTGGGAGACCTGAGTTCGATCCCTGGGTTGGGAAGATCCACTGGAGGAAGGTATGGCAACCCACTCCAATATTCTTGCCTGGAGAATCCCCATGAACAGAGGAGCTTGGCAGGCTACAGTCCATGGGGTCGCAAAGAGTGAGACACAACTGGGCAGCTGAGCACACAGCACACACAGGAGGAAAACAAAAGAATAGGCAGAATTCAGGGGTATTTTAGGGCAATGAAACCACTCTTTATGACACTGTAACAGTGGGCACATGTCATTACACATTTCTCAAAACCCATAGAATGTACAACAGCAAGAGTGTATCCTCATGTATTCCTAGTGAACATTGGGAGATAATGACATATCATTGTAGGTTCGTTAGTTGCATCAAATTTGTCTATTGGTTCAAGAACGCAGAGACACTGCATGAGTAGGGGCAGGGTATATTGAGAAATCTCTATCTTCCTTTCATTGTTGCAGTCAACCTAAAACTGCTCTAAAAATTAAGTTTTATAAAAAAACACAAAATTAGGAGCACCTAAATAAGTAAAGCAAATATTAACAGACATAAAGGGAGAAATTGAGATGACACAATAATAATAGGGGACTTCAGCACCTCAGTTATACCAATGGAGAGATCATCCAGACAGAAAATCAATAACAGCCTTAAATGACACATTAAACCAGATGGTCTTAATATATATACATATGTATATCTAGATTATCTCATCAAAAAACAGAATACACATTATTTTCAAGTACACATGTAACATTCTCCAGGATAAGTCATATGAGAGGTCACAAAACCAGTCTTAGTAAACTTAAGAAAATTGAAATCCTATCAGGCATCTTTTTTGATCACGATACTGTGAGACTGGCAATCCACTACAAGAAAAAAAAACTGCCAAAAACACAAGGATATGGAGGTTAAACAAAGGCTACTAAACAACTAATGGTTCACTGAGTAAATCAAAGAAGAAATAAAAAAAAAAATACCTAGAGACAAGTGAAACCAAAAACACAGCAATCCAAAGTCTACGGGAATCACAAAAGCAGTACCAAGAGGAAGTTTATACAAGTTTACCTCAGAAAACAAGAAAAATCTCAAATAATAACCAAACCTCACACCTCAAGGAACTAAAAAGAAGAACAAGCAAAACCCAAAGTTAGGAGGAAGAAAAAAATAATAAATATCAGAGCAAAAAATCAATAATACATTAAAAGGATCATACACCATGATCAAGTGGAATTTATCCCAGGGTAGGGATGCAACAATGGTTCAGTATCTGCAAATCAATCAGTGTAATAAAGCACATAAACAAACTGAAGAAAAAAATTATATGATCGTCTTGATAGATGCAGAAAAACCTTGAAAAAATTCAACATTTATTTATGATAAAAGCTCTCAACAAAGAAGTTACATATCTCAACACAATAAAGGCCATATGTGACAAGCCCACAGTTAACTAACATCATACTCAATGGTGAAAAATTGATAGCATTTCCAGTAATATCAGTATCAAGACAAGGACATCCTCTCTCACCTCTTTTATTCACTTCTATTTACATAGTACTGGAAGTCCTAGCCACAGCAATCAAATAAAAAAAGAAAGAAAAGGAATCCAAAGTGTAAAGGAAGAAGTAAAACTGTCACTGTTTTTAAATAACATGACACCATACACAGAAAATACTAAAGATGCTACCAAAAAGCTACTAGAACCCATCAATGAATTTGGCAAAGTTGCAGGATATAAAATTAATTTACAGAAACCTGTTATATTTCTATATACTAGCAATGTATACACTAACAATCTGGGAGAAATATTAAGAAAACAATCCCATTTACAGTTGCATCAAAAAGAACAAAACTCCTAGGAATAAGTCCAAATGAAGGGGTACAATATCTGTACTTGGAAAACTATTAGTCATTGATGGAAGAAACTGAAGACAACAACAAAAGAGGGAAGGTAAACTGTCCTCAAGAATTAGAAGAATAAATATTGCTAAAATGAACATACTGCCCAAGGTGATGTCCAAAATCAATGCACTCTCTATCAAATTACCAATGTTATTTCTCACAGAACTAAAATAAATAATTCTAAAACATATGGAAGCATGAAAGACCCCCCAATAGCCAAAGCAATCCTGAGAAAGAAGAGCAAAGCTGGAGTATCATGCTTTCTGATTTCAAACTATACTACAAAGGTACAGTAATCAAAGTTTTATACTAGCTCGAAGCCAGATACACAGATCAATGGAACCCAATAGAAAGCGCAGAAACAAACTCATCACATGTATATGGGCAATTAAAGAATATAAAATGGAAAAAGACGGCCCTCCTCAGGAATCAGTATTAAGAAAACAGGTCCAACTCTTTGCAAACCCATGGACTATAGCTCTCCAGGCCTCTGTTCATGGAATTTTCCAGGTAATAATACTGGAATGGGTTATCACTTCCTGCTCCAGGAGATCTTCCCAACCCAGGGATCAAACCCACAACTTTTGTACCTCCTGCATTGGCAGGCAGGTTCTTTACCACTATGCCACCTGGGAAGCCCTAAAGTGGAATATTGCTCAGCCATGAAAAAGAATGAAATCTTGCCATTTGTGACAACATGGAGGACCTAGTGGGTGTTATGCTAAGTGAAACAATTCAGACAGAGAAAGACAAATGCCAACTTCACTAATATGTGGAATATAAAAAGAAAATGATGACCAAAACAAACAGTTATGGATAAAGAGAACAAACAGGTGGTTCTAGAGGGACAGGGATGTTAGGGAGACTAAGAGGTTTAGACTTCCATGTGTGCAATAAACGAGTCGAGTATGAAATGTACAGTGTGGGGAGTATAGTCAATAGCTACGTAATATCTTTTTTATGGTGACAAACTAAACTTACCATGGTGATCATTTTGAAATGTGTAGAAATACTGAATCACTATGTTGTGTAATAGGAACTAACCTAGTATTGTAGATCAGTTAGACTCCAAGAGCAAACAAACTCACAGAAAGCTTTGTTACCAGAGGAGACATGAGAAGAGGGGAAATTGGATGGAAGCAGTCAAGAAGTAGAAACTTTCAGTTATAAGTAAGTACTAGGGATGTAATGTATAACATGATGAATATAATTAACATGGATGCATGTTATGAAAGCTGTTAAGACAAAAAATCCTGAGTTCTCATCACATGGAAAGAAAAATTTCCCTTTCTTTAAATTTGCATCTATATGGGATGATGAAAGTTCACTAAATTTATTGTGATAATCATTTCATGACATAAGGCAAATCATTATGCTGTATACTTTAAACTTGTCCAGTGCTGTATTTCAATTATATCTCATCAAAATTTCATTGCAGCACTGTTTACAATAGCTAGGCCATGGAAGCAAACTAGATGTCCATTGGCAGATGAATGGATAAGGAAGTTGTGGTACATATACTCATGGAATATTACTCAGCTATAAAAAAGAACACATTTGAGTCAGTTCTATTGAGATGGATGAAACTGGAGCCTATTATACAGAGTGAAGTAAGCCAGAAAGAGAAACACCAATATAGTATATTAATGCATATATATGGAATTTAGAAAGGTGGTAATGACAACCCTATATAGAAGACTGCAAAAGAGACACAGATGTAAATAACAGACTTTTGGACTCTGTGGGAGAAGGCAAGGATGGGACAATATTAGAGAATAGCATTGAAACATGTATATTACCATATGTAAAATAGACGACCAATACAAGTTTGATGCATGAAGCAGGGCGCTCAAAGCTGGTGCTCTGGGACAACCTAGAGGGATGGGGTGGGGAGGGGGGTTCAGGATGGTGAGACACATGTATATCCATGGCTGATTCATGTCAATGTATGGCAAAAACCACCACAATATTGTAAAGTAATTAGCCTCCAATTAAAATAAACAAATCTAATTTTAAAAAAAACAAGGTAGGGGAAAGAAAAACAGAAATTTTTAAAACAATAAAATAAAAATAAGAAAATTAGAAAACATCCCCTAAATTTCAAATTGTGTATTCTTTTTTTTTTATTATTTCTACTATACTGTTGTTACTACTACTGTATCTAACCTGTCTCCATTTCTCAGGTTTGGGAGGAAGTTAGTTTTCAGATGCTGTTTACTCCAGCTTGCCATTACTGACACCAGTGCAGCCTTTGCTCCCACCTACCTCATTTACTGCTCGCTACGCTTCTTGGCTGGGTTTTCTACCATGAGCATCCTGACAAATTGTACTGTTCTTAGTAAGTCAAAACTTTGGGTCTTTGACATTTTCCAAGCCTTAAATTTGACTTTTAAATTCTAACTTTGTCTGAAGTCAAGATCCTACTTGTGTTTTCTTTCAGTTGTAGAGTGGACAGTGCCCCGATTCCAAGTCATGGGAATGACCCTGTCCATCTGTGCCGCTTGCTTGGGCCAGATCATCCTGGGAGGACTCGCTTTTGCCATTCGAGACTGGCACACCCTTCAGCTGGTGTTTTCTGTACCATTATTTGTCTTCTTTCTTTCCTCAAGGTATAAAATTTCTTTCTTTATCTGAGAAGATCCTAGATGCAAGGTACATGGAGTTAGGATGCAAGAATTCTGATTGGTCTTAGTCAATATTTGAGCACATGCTTAACTAATCTGTGCCCTGTGTACAACTAAAGAAGTAGAACAGTTAGTGTTACAAGATAACATCAAGGGCATTCAGGTAAATGTGAATTTTAGATAAAACATGAAATTTTTATATAGTAACCCCAAATTTTGTATGGAGCATAGTTACACTAAAAATCACTCATTGTTTACATGAAACTTCTACTTACCTGAGAGTTCTGTATTTTTATTTGGGATTCCCTGGTGGCTCAGATAGTGAATAATCTGCCTGCAATGCAAGAGACCCAGGTTTGATCCCTGGATCAGGAATATCCCCTGGAGAAGGGATTGGCTACCCACTCCAGTATTTTTGCCTGGAGAATTTCATGTACAGAGGAGCCTGGCAGACTACAGTCCAAAGATCACAAAGAGTTGGGCACAACTGAAAAACTAACACTTTCTCTACTGTTCTGTATTTTTATTTACTAACCTGATAAAAATACAGTGTCTCATTAAAGTAAAATTTCAAATAAACAGCAAATACTTTTTAGTATATGTACAAAATACTGCATGGGATATAGTGGTACTCAAGGTTTACTCATATTCACTGTTAATCTAAATTCAAATTTAACTAAACACACTATTTTATTTGCTAAAACTGTTACTATCCCTCTGAATAATGGGAAGGGAACACTATGACTCCAAGTCTATATTCTGGCAGTAAAGGTGTACTGCATGCAGAGGTCATCTTCACCGTTTCCTAGTTATGGTGAAAGTGAAAGTCGCTCAGTCGTGTCTGACTCTTTGCGACTCCATGGACTATACAGTCCATGGAATTCTCCAGGCCAGAACACTGGAGTGGATAGCCTTTCCTTTCTCCAGGGGATCTTCCCAACCCAGGGATCAAACCCAGGTCTCCCAAATTGCAGGTGGATTCTTTACCAGCTGAACCTCAAGGGAAGCCCATGAATACTGGAGTGGGTAGTCTATCCCTTCTCCAGAGGATCTTCCCAACCCAGGAATCAAACTGGGCTGTCCTGCATTGCAGGTGGGTTCTTTATCAACTGAACTATCAGGGAAGCCCCTAGTTATGGTACGAGAGACTATACATTATATTTTCTGGTATAACAAAACAAGAGGTAGGTATTAGATGAGAGGAGAGAGGTATTTCACGGAAAAAAAAAAGGGTATTTGAAAAAATGAGGAAATGAGAGTTGGTTGCACCTCTGTTCTCTTCTTTGATCAGGTGGCTGGCAGAGTCTGCTCGGTGGCTGATTATCACCAACAAACCCGAGAGGAGTTTAAAGGAACTTAGAAAAGCTGCACACAGGAATGGAAGGAAGAATGCTGGAGATGCCCTAACCATGGAGGTGAACAGAAGAGGGGATTGGGATGACGTGACCTGACATATACTCTAGTTGGAGTCCAAGTGAATAAAGGGTGGGAACACAGGTGTGGTTGGGGTCTACTTAGCTCATTGTCCTGGTCTTCAATAGCTGCACATTGTTTGAGTGAATATTAAGAGAGAGCATCATGACGCTGAAGGGACTGAACGCAGCAGATATTTCACTCAACAGAGGCAGAAAGCACTTAGTATGTATGATTGTAAAGACTGTGTATTGGTCGCCCTTTGTGATAGAGAAATTAAAAAAAACTAATCCATTTCTTTCCAATTAACATTCCAATGGCTTTTTTGTCAAGATGGTAAGGCAAGAAGAGCAGCAGCTTAATGACCATGCAGAAAAGAGCATGTGAAAGTGAAAAACAGTCATGTCCAACTCTTTGCGATCCCATGGACTATACAATCCCTGGAATTCTTCAGGTCAGAATTCTGGAGTGGATAGTCTTTCCCTTCTCCAGGGGATCTTCCCAACCCAGGGATTGAAATCAGGTCTTCCACCTTGCAGGTGGATTCTTTACCAGCTGAGTCATCAGGGAAGCCCAAGAATACTAGAGTTGGTAGTCTCTCCCTTCTCCAGTGGATCTTCCCAACCCAGGAATTGAGCCAGGGCCTCCTGCATTGCAGGTAGATTCTTTACCAACTGAGCTATGAGGGAATCCCATTATTAACTTTTTTGTTTGCAAAAGAGAATGGAAAGAATGCTAATAGAGACAAGGAGAAATCATCTACCCTCGTTAATAGGAAAAAGAGAAGGTTAGGGGCTAGACAGTCAAACAAGAACAATAAAACATTTCTGCAAATTTACTCATTGGCACATCTGATCAATTTTTTGAAACCACTTTATTGAGGTTTTAACATACAAAGAGCTGTACCTATTTAATGTACAACTTGATGGATTTGCAAGTTAGTATACATCTGAACATCATCACCACAGTTTATACAAGAAACATATCCATTACCTCCTAAAACTTTCTCCATCCTTCTTTATTCACTATTTTTTTGTGATAACACAATATAAGACCTCCCATCACAGCAAATTTTGAGCACACAGTACAGTATTATAACCCTAGACACAATGCTATAGAGTAGATTCCTTTAGGATTGATTTATCTTGCTCAACTTAAACTTTGTACTCTATGGTAAATATTGCCCCATTTCTCACATCCCCCAACACCTGGCAAGCACTATTCAGAAACTCTCTGCTTCTTTGAGTTTGACTATTTTAGATTCCTTGTGTAAGTGGTATCCTGCAGTATTTGTTCTTTTGCACATGGCTTATTTTTTGTAGCATAATATCCTCTAGGTTAACCGTGTTGTGGCAAATGGCAAAATTTCTTTATTTTTATTGCTGAATAATATACCATTTTGCATATATATAGATGACATTTTCCTTTTCTATTCATCCATAGATGGACATTTGTTTCCATGTCTTAGCTATTGGGAATAATGATCTAATGAATATATGAGGGCAGATATCTCTTCAAGATCCTGATTTCAATTCCTCTGAATGTATATCCAGAAGAAGGATTACAGGATAATATACTGGTTCTAGTCTCAATTTTTTTAGGAACCTCCATACTGTTTCCATAGTGGCCACAGCATTTCACATTCCCAGCAACAGTGTACAAGGATACTCTGTTCTCCACATCTTCACCAATACTTATCACTTTTTTTATAATACCATTCCAACTGGTGTACAGTGGTAACTCATAATTTTGATTTGCCTTTCCCTAACAATTAGTGATGTTAAGCACTTTTTAATGTACCTGCTGGCCATTTGTATGTGGTCTTTGCAGAAATGTCTATTCAGTTCGTATGCCCATTTTTTGTTGTTGTCGCTGTTGCAAAGTCATGTCCAACTCTTTTCGAGCCCATTTACAGCAGCATGCCAGGCTCCCCTGCCCTTCACTATCTCCAGGAGTCTGCTCAAACTCTTGTCCATTGAGTCGGTGATGCCATCCAACCATCTCATCCTCTGCCACACCCTTGTCCTCCTGCCTTCAATCTTTTCCAGCATCAGGGTCTTTTCCAATGAGTTGGCTCTTCACATCAGGTGGCCAAAGTATTGAAGCTTCAGCTTCAACATCAGTCCTTCCAATGAAAAATTAGGGTTGATTTCCTTTAGTATTGACTAGTTTGATCTCCTTACTGTCCAAGGAACACTCAAGAGTCATCTCCACCATCTTCTAAAGCATCAGTTATTCATTGTTCAGCCTTCTTTGTAATGCAACTCTCACATCCGTACATGACTACTGGAAAAACCATAGCTTTGACTAGACAGAACTTTAATTAAGTTATTTGGGTTTTTCGCTATTGAGTTGTAGGAGTTTCCTATATATTCTGGATATTAACCCTCTATAAGACACATGGCTTGCAAATAATTTCTTCCAGTCTGCAGGTGCTTTTTCATTTTGTCGACTATTTCCTAGCTGTGTAAAGGTTTTTCAATTCAATATAGTACCATTTGTCTATTTGTTGCTTATTACTTGTGTTTTTGGTGTCACAACCAAAAAATCATTAGCAAGACCAATATCAACAAGCTTCTCTCCTATGTTTTCTTTAGGAATTTATAGTTTAGGTTTTTAGTCTTTAATTTATTTAAGTTGATTTTTTATTTTTCTTAACTTACTTTATTTTATTTTTTCAGTTTTTTTAAAATTTATTTTCTTTTACTTTACAATATTGTATTGGTTTTGCCATACACTGACATGAATCTGCCAAGGGTGTACATGTGTTCCCCATCTCAAACCCCCTTCCCACCATAATTTCTTTACAATATTGTGGTGTTTTTTGCCGTACATTGACATGAATCACCCACAGGTGCATAGTGTAAGGTAAGTTTCCAATTTCATTTTTTGCATGTAGATATCCAATTTTAATAAACACCATTTATTAAAGACAATCTTGTCCCCATTGTGAATTATTGGTACAATTGTCAGAAATCAATTGTCTGTATATGCATGAGTCTATTGCTGGGCTCTCTATTCTGTTCTATTGGTCTACATGTCTTTATGCCGGTATCATGATCTTGGTTACTGTGGATTTATTATATATTTTGAAACCAGAATATGTGATGCTTCCAGCTTTGTTCCTTTTCAAAATGCTTTGACTGTCGGGAGTCTTCTGTATTTCCATATGAATTTTAGGGTTTTTTTTTTTATTTCTGTAGAGAATATCAGTGGGATTTTGACAGGGCTTTATTGAATCTGCATATTGCTTTGTGTTGTATGGACATCTTAACAATAATAATTTGTTTAATCCATGAGCATGAATATCTTTATATTTTCTAATATCTGCCTTAATTTCTTTCTTCAGTATTTTCAATATGCAAATCTTTCACCTTCTTGGTTAAGTTTATCCCTAAATGCTTTATTGTTTTTGATGATATTGCAAATAGGACTGTCTTCTTAATGTTATTTTTAGATAACTTGTGGCAGATGTATAGAAATACAACTGATTTTATATGCTAATTTTTTATCCTGTGAATTAACTGAATTCACTTATTCATTTAACAACTTTTTGGATATGTGTTTAGGTTTTTCTACAAATAAGATCATGTTGTCTGAAAAAAGATAATTTTACTTCTTTCTTTCTGATTTGGATGCCTTATTTTTTTCTTACCTAATTGTTCTGGCCAGGACTTCCAATTCTATGTTGAACTGAAGTGCAATCCTTGTCTAGTTCCAAATCTTAGAGGAAAAATTTTCAGCTTTTCACCATAGAGTACGATGTTATTAGCTGTGGGCTTTTCATACATGGCCTTTAATAGAAGTTCCTTCTGTACTTAATTTGTTGAGAATTTTTGCCATGGAAGTGTGTTGAATTTTGTCAAATGTGTTTTCTGCACTTATTGAGAGAATCATATGATCTTTAGCCTTCATTCTGCTACTTTGGTGTATCACATTTATTTGCTTGTACTGAGACATCCTTGCATCACAGGAATAAAGCCCACTGGGTAATGGTGTGTGATCTTTCCAATATGCTGTTGAATTTCGTTTGCTAACATCTTGTTGTTTATTTTTTCGACCATATTCTTCAGGAATGTTGGCCTGTATTTTTTTTTCTTTTCTTTTCTTATGGTTTCCTTGTCTCACTTTGCTGTCAGGATCATAGTGGCCTGACAAATTAATTTAGAAGGATTTCTATCCTCTATTTTTTGGAAGAGTTTGAGAAGATTCATATTAATTCTTTAAATGTTTGGTAGAATTCACCTATAATGCTATATAATATTAAGCTTTTATTTCTGGAATTTTTAGTTACTGCCTCATGCTGTTTATTAGTTATTCATCTATTGAGGCTTTCTAGTTCTTCTCAATTCAATCTTTGTAGGTTATAAGTCATATATTTGTGTTAGATTGATCCTTTTGCCATTATAAATTACCTTCTTGGTCTCTTGTGACAGTTTTTTATTAAAGTCTATTTTATCCATACAAGGTGATTATCCCTGCTCTGTTTTGATTATCATTTTCATGGAACGTCTTTTTTTCCATCCATTCATTTAAAGTCTATCATGTTCTTAAACTTCAGAAATGGAAAACCTTCTAAATTCATTTTGTCAGGCCAATATAATCCTGAAACCAAAGTGAGACAAAGATACCATAAGAAAAGAAAAGAAAAAAATATAGGCCAACATTCCTGAAGAGTATAGTTGAAAAAATCATCAACAAGATGTTAGAAAACCAAATTCAACAGCATATTAAAAAGATCATACACCATTACCCAGTTGTTGTTTTTGAACTGTGGTGTTGGAGAAGACTCTTGAGAGTCCCTTGGACTGCAAGGAAATCAAACCAGTAAATCCTAAAGGAAATCAATCCTGAATATTCATTGGAAGGACTGATGCTGAAGCTGAAGCTCCACTACTTTGGCCACATGATGTGAAGAGCAGACTCATTAGAAAAGACCCTGATGCTGGGAAAGATTGAAGGCAGGAGAAGAAGGGGACAACAGAGGACAAAATTGTTGGATGGCATCACTGACTCAATGGACATGAGTTCGAGCAAGCTCTGGGAAATGGTGAAAGACAGGGAAACCTGGAGTCACAAAAAGTAGGACACAACTGAGTGACTGAACAACAGCAAACCTAAAGTGATTCTCTTATAGATAGCAGAGAACTTACAGTGGGGGTCAAGCCAGGGTGTGCTGGAAAATGTTTAACACTTCAGTTACAGGAATAAGAAAAAGCAATAGGTCTCAGATTGTGGTGCTGATCAATTTCTGTGATGTGAATATTACCACCATAGTCAGTTTCAAGCCACCAACAGGATGGTAACTGCTTAACAAACTATCTAAACATTTAACAAAGGGCTTCTATGAATTTTCACACTGATTCCAGGACACAACTGGGCAAGGGTTCAAACAGGGGCTGTTTCATGCATTTTAACCTGGGAGAGTGTTATGAGTGGTATGAATAGGTTTAAGAAAAAAAATAAGAAGATGAAGTGAAAATTAGAGAGAAAAGTGCATTTTAAAAAGTGAAGACACAGCAGGTTCCTATTTGAACATGGGCCTCTTTTTCGCAGAATAAGGATTTTATCGGGTAGTAGGAGCTCCTTGGTTTCTGTGAGTGAGCTGGCATTGCCCCCTACAGAACTATTTCTGCTCTCACTTCATATCTCTGCTTGCTCACAAAAAAATGAATGACCAGTATAAAATAACTGCAATGTGTTGTTGCTGTTTTAGTCTCTAAGTTGTGCCTGACTCATTGTGACCCCATGGACTGTAGCCTACCAGGCACCTCTGTCCATGGGATTTCCCAGGCAAGAATACTGGAGTGGGTTGCCATATTCTTCTCCAGGGGATCTTCCTGATATGTCTTGAAATTTAACTTTGATATTGGATGTAATTCAAGTCTAGTCTTACAGGCTTTGAACCCCTCATCGGGCCCAAGTTTAGGATGTTATTTGAGCTTATTCTGACATTATCACACAGAATATACACAGAAGAACTATACAAAAAAGATCTTCATAACCCAGATAACCACAACGGTGTGATAACTCACCTAGAGCCAGACATCCTGGAATGTGAAATCAAGTGGGCCTTAGGAAGCATCACTGCAAGCAAAGCTAGTGAAGGTGATGGAATTCCAATTGAGCTGTTCCAAATCCTACAAAATGATGCTGTTAAAGTGCTGCTCTCAATATGTCAGCAAATTTGGAAAACTTAGCAATGACCACAGGACTGGAAAATGTCAGTTTTCATTTCAATCCCAAAGAAAGGCAATGCCAAAGAATATTTAAACTACCACACAGTTGCACTCATCTCACACACTAGCAAAGTAATGCTAAAAATTCTCCAAGCCAGGCTTCAACAGTACGTGTACTGTGAACTTCCAGATGTTCAAGTTGGATTTAGAAAAGGCAGAGGTACCAGAGATCAAATTTCCAACATCTGCTGGATCATCAAAGGAGCAAGAGAGTTCCAGAAAACCATCTACTTCTGCTTTATTGACTATTCCAAAGCCTTTGACTGTGTGGACCACAACAAACTGTGGAAAATTCTGAAAGAGATGGGAATACCAGACCACCTTACCTGCTCCCTGAGAAATCTGTATGCAGGTCAAGGAGCAACAGTTAGAACCAGACATGGAACAACAAACTGGTTCCAAATTGTGAAAGGAGTACGTCAAGGCTGTATATTGTCACCCTGCTTATTTAACTTCTATGCAGAGTACATCATTTGAAATGCCAGACTGGAAGAAGCACAAGCTGGGATCAAGAATTGCTGAGAGAAATATCAATAATTCAGATATGCAGACGACACCACCCTTATGGCAGAAAGTGAAGAAGAGTTAAAGAGCCTCTTGATGAAAGTGAAAAAGGAGAGTGAAAAAGTTGGCTTAAAGCTCAACATTCAAAAAACTAAGATCATGGCATTTGGTCCCATAATTTCATGGCAATTGGAAAAAAATGGAAACAGTGACAGACTATTTTCTTGGGCTCCAAAATCAGTGCAGATGGTGACTGTAGCCATGAAATTAAAAGACACTTGCTCCTTGGAAGAAAAGCTATGACCAACCTAGACAGCATATTAAAAAGCAGAGATATCACTTTGCCAACAAAGGTCCATCTAGTCAAAGTTACATTTTTTTCAGTAGTCATGTATGGATGTGAAAGTTGGACTATAAAGAGCTGAGCGCCAAAGAATTGATGCTTTTGAATTGGAGTTGAAGACTCTTGAGAGTCCCTTGGACTGCAAAGAGATCCCACCAGTCAATCCTAAAGGAAATCAGTCCTGAATATTCATTGGAAGGACTGATGCTGAAACTGAAACTCCAATATTTTGGCCACCCGATGCGAAGAAATGACCCATTGGAAAAGACCCTGATCCTGGGAAAGATTAAAGGCAGGAGGAGAAACGGACGACAGAGAATAAGATGGTTGGATGGCATCATCGACTCAATGGACATGAGTTTGAGCAAGCTTCAGGAGTTGATAATGGACAGGGAAGCCTGGCATGCTGCAGTCCATGGAGTTGCAAAGAGTCAGATATGGCTGAGTGAACTAAACTTACATTATCATCCATGATGCAATCCTGACTCCTCTCTTCTAAAAGCCTAAGTCCAACATTTTTGCTACTCAGGTTATAACTGAAAGGATGTTATTGCATGTGTAGGTCCTCAGTTAAGGTGGCCTTTCACTTCTCTGAATTCCTCATGAAGTTATTCCAATGGACTTTATGATATTTTTTCATTTGTAGAGGTGGGATAAGAATTAAGATAATATTGTTTGAATAACAAATAAATAGGTATCTGAGATAAGTTGGATACAATTCCATATGTACATTTATAGCCTCATGTCTGGCCCTGGAAATCTTTGTGAGAAAAATGCTATTATTTTTCTCCACCTACTCTTCTACTCTGGTTCCTCTACTTGTTCTTTTTGTTGCTGTTGTTGTTCAGTCACTAAGTCATGTCCAACTCTTTGTAACTCCATGGACTGTGGCACTCCAGGCTTCTCTGTCCTCCACTATCTCGTAGAGTTTCTCAAATTCATGTTTATTGAGCTGTTGGTGTGAACTGAGTTTTAGAAATATTTAATTAAGTTTCTCAAGGTATATACCTAGCATATTGCAGGACTATTAAGTAACTCCATATTATAACCAGTTCTAAATATAAATCATTCTACTCCAAGATCTCTCCTGATTTCGTCCTCAGATTTAACTCTAGGCGTCTCATTCATGGAGGCACAACATGCCAGGAATTCCCCAAAAAGTGACTGAACAAAGAACCAAAACAAAGACTCTCAGGAAATGTTCTTTTTCCTGAGATAAACAGTTTTTCTGCAAGGGACAGCCAGCTGATAACCAAGCTTAGTGTCCAGGTCTTTCATGCCCATCTGGCACAAATGGACCTTTGGACCATTATCCAAGTAAGCATGATTTGATTCCTTTTCTTATCTGTGTATCTGACATACAATCCCTTTCTAATGATCTGCAGCCCTCTCAAATCCTGTGTTTAAATATTTTTGTGGCTAAATAATTTCCTTCAGTCCCTTTTAACTCAGCAATTCTCTATTCATATCACTTTTACAACCACTGTTACATTTTCAATGACTATATTTCCCAGTAGACAGAAAGGGAAGTCATCTATCTTGTCCTCTGTTAGGGGCCTCACAATGCCTACCATTGTGTGACAACTGAACAGTTTGTTGTTGTTGAAGGTCCTGAGATCTGCCATGCAGGAGGAGCTGGAGGCAGCACAGACCAAATCTTCTCTGTTTGACTTGTTCCGCACACCCAACCTGCGTAAAAGGATCTGTCTCCTGTCCTTTGTAAGGTGGGCTTCACACAGTGCATGAAAGATGTTAAAATAGTGGAGACATGAATCTATTCCTTATCAAAAGAGCAATATGGTGGGAACAGATCTGAGATAAAACAGAAAGCCATAATGATAACTGCCATGTTGAGTAGTCAAAGGGTTATGAAAAGACTGACCCAGAGCTAGGTATACAACAAAGAGTTGTGTTTATCATATCACCCTAACAAGTTCATCACTGGAAACTGAGGCTAAGAACTTCAGATGTTCTCATGATACAATGTTGGCTTTAACTCTCTTCACTTGTTTGTTTTCATTTTAATTAAGGTAAAATTACAAGCCACAAAATGAAGAAGAATATATAGCCTGATGGATATTTCCATATGTAAATATGCAACCATCACCCAGATAAAGATACAGAAAAACTCTAAATCCCTGGAAGGTTCTATCATGTGTCCTCCACAAAAATGCTCCAAACCCTCCTCCAAACTGTAACAATAATTAGGAGCTCCAAATACATAACTATCTTATAGTTTTAAAATCATCACCTTATGAGGAAATATTTCATAAAACCTATCATGTTTTTATACCTTAAAACCAACCACTGGCTGCTTAGTTAATAGTTATGATCATCATTTGTAAGACAAAGGCTCTAAACCTTATGGTAAATGTCGTTCATCTTTGTTCACCACAGATTTGCAAACTTCATGTCATTTTTTGGTCTGATTCTCCACCTCCAGTATATGGGGAGCAATGTTTTCCTGTTCCAAGTTCTTTTTGGCGCAGTCAACCTCCCAGCCAATTATGTTGCTTTTTTGTCACTGAATCACCTGGGCCGTCAAGTAAGCCAGACACTCTTCATGTTTCTTCTTGGAATCTCCATCCTGGCCATCACATTTGTGCCTCAAGGTGAGAAAAGAGCACAGGTTGAAATAAGAAAATGTATTACCCCAGATATTTGAAGACAGAATCTGAAGCTAGAAGGAAGTGAAGGCTAGGGTTCTAAGGATTCTCCAAAACCAGTCTGAGGATTTAGGATAGATTCTGCCATTAAGTGTCTGCAAAATAGTTCAGACAGTTCAGACAACTAGTTGTCTACATCATATCTGACATGTATTTGGTAATTGGTACCTGGGACAGCAGTTGATCACTTTCCCTTTGGCCAATCACACTTGTAACTGTAAAAGGCAGTATTATGTCATATATCAAATTGTATCTCATATGAGGACACAATATTGCCACTTCCTCTGTCTGGTTTCTTTGCTATTATGACAGTTTCAGTGACACTTTATTAACTGACTCTATGTATCCACTCACGTGTCTGGAATTAGGTCACCATAACTTCAACCTGGTTCCAGGTTGTCATCTTGACTCCAAGGTATTTTTAATCCCTTCCCTTCAAGCATAGTAGATGTGTAGAATAGGAGGAAATGCATTAAGCTATTAACAGCCTCTCTTAAAGTCCATGTTACTAAATTAAATGACTGTATGCAATGAATAAGGGGAGCCAGATGGTCACCATGCTTCAGGTAACTCCCAGTGCAGTGGCATTTATGCAGGATACCATCTTGAATATCCGCATCAATGCAAATTTGCTGCCTTTCAACAGAGCCCACTCCAACGTTGTAATACTTTCATGAATTTTTTTTTAATGGGATAGAAAACTGACTGTCTGAAACATCTTTTCAGAGGTTTCCAAAGTCTACTTTTTTCCCTAAAACAGATCCTTATTCTTGAATCTTAAAATATTATTCTAGATCAAGCAATTTTCCAGCTTATCCATTAACATGAGCCCCATTCTTTTATGATTCTCTACTGCATTACTAGCCCTTTGTCAATATTGTGTAAACACATGACTTTTAAAGGATATTGATGAGTCTTAACATTTGTCAGTAATTGCTCATATGATAGTCCTATGTTATACATGAAAGACAGAGGAGACACTGAATAGAATAAATGAAACAAACCCTTTCTGGGATTTTGTTCCCTCCTCTATCTTTAGGAAGCTTCTAAAATCTCTGATATGCAGATACAGTTGATTCAAATACTCAGGTTTTTAAATTCTCATTTAGGCTATAATATACAGATAAGTCACATTTCTCAGCTATTAGTCTCTGCACATTCTCCGCTCCACGTATTTTCTCTACTATGTGTTTAATACATGCAAATGTTTCCAACTGTGTCTTTTTCAGTTATAATTTGGGGGGTGTTGATTTCTTCATCTCAGATTTCCTGAGTCTCACTGATGTTCTTCTCCAGAAATGCAGACCCTGCGTATGGCTGTGTCAACTTTGGGAATAGCAGTTTCTTCTGTGACTCTCATGTGTTCTTTTGCCCATGGAAATGAACTAATCCCCACAGTTCTCAGGTATACAAGCTCATGGAAGCTCTAGCAGAGTCAAAATATAACTTTCCAAGCCAATTAAGACTTATAGAAGGAAGAAAACTAACCTGAATCATTATCAAAAGCATTGATTATAGTGGTATTAATAATAAAAATTAAAACCAAAATTTTAATCAAAATCTCAATTTTGTTAGGCATGTTAAGCTTTTTAATGTATCATCTCCCATAATCTGCTGAACCATTAAGGTGCTATGGGTAAGAGTATTTTTAAGTAACAAAAACTTTTTAAAAAAAACACTTGTGCACTTAAAAATTTTGTGAGCAAATAAGAGTATATTTTAAATGTAAAAAGTACATCATTAGTCTTCATGTATTAAATCCTGCCGTGATGTCTCCCATGTCTGCACGCATGCTAGGTTGCTTCAGTCATGTCTGACTCTTTGTGACCCTATGGACTGTAGTCCACGAAGCTGCTCTGTCTATGGGATTCTCCAAGGAAGAATACTGATGGGTTGCCATGCCCTCCTCCAGGGGATCTTCCCAACTCAGACATTGAACCTGAGTCTCTTACATTGGCAGGTTCTTTACCTCTAACTCCACCTAGGAACCCCACGTGGTCTCCCATAGTCAAAGCAAAATATTAAATCTCATATTACATGTTTGGATTTATACCAGATTATTTTTGTATTGTTGTTTTCACTCCAAGGGTAACAGCTTCAGGATTCTTGGGAGTTGCTTCTAATATTGGCGCAGCCCTGGCTCCCCTCTTGATGATCTTAGCAGTGTATTCCCCCCACCTGCCCTGGATCATCTATGCAGTCTGCACCATCCTTGGTAGCCTTGTTGTCCCACTTCTACCTGAAACCAGGAATAAGCCTCTGCCTGACTCCATCCAGGATGTGGAAAAGGAGTGAGTAAACCCCTGGTTGTCCCTTAGAGTTGCCGTGTGATACAGGTCTGTGTAAGAAGGCCAAGGTACCATACAAGGTCATTGTCCCCAGGGGAAGGCTTACATCTAGATGTCTCTAGGTGGTCAGTACCTTCAGTTTAACTACAGCCTCATCCCTCCCCACAGTGACCTCACACTCCCCCAAGACTCCCTGGATCACCCAGACCAGCACCAGTAGGCACCAGTAGGTTTAGTGATGAAGAAGTCAAAATCAGGTGCCCTAGTATGACATAAACAACCCCGAAGGTGTTTTACAAACATGCACAGATTTAAACATCAGATTCTCACCCCTCAGGCCCTGGCAGCGCTCAGCCCAGTGAGGGCAGTAAGCTCTCTGAGATTACCGGTGTCTGTAGGTCTGTGACCTGCCCTGGTCACTAAAGCAGGTACCTGAGGGAGACCAAATAGAGGGCAGTAGCCCTTCCTCTCTCTAAGATGACAATACATCTTAGGAGAAGGAGTCCTGTTGTGCTGCCTGTGAGATTCAGATCACCTGAAAGTATTGAAAAAAGAGACAAGAAGGGTGGTAATTACTGGTATTTTTAAAAGATCAAGAATTTGAAAGGATTTAAAAACTTTTGTATACTTCCTTTGCCTCTTCCAAAGACCCAGTTAGCCGACACCTTGGTGTCCAGTATCAAAGCTGCCTTCCCAGATCCTTTTCTGGGAGCATGGACTTTTTCTTCACAAAATTTACTCAGATCCTCAGGACAGGTGTCAGTGCTTTTATCAATACTCACAGACCAACACAATCCATTTTCTCTAAATAATTTAAGACATAGGTGCCTTTTCCATGCTTTTTAATCTTGTTCTTTTGTTGTTTTCATTGTATTTGCTCTAGGAGAAAAGACTCAAGAAAAGCGAAGCCAGAAGGTACTTTCATGAAAGTGACACAATTTTAAGGAATTCCATTCCAGGCACTATCTGCTAATCAAAGAGCAAGATAAACAAGAAAAAATGGGGTCATTCCCAAATATTGGTAAAATTTGGAAAACAAATAAATAAAAAGATGTAATAGGAAAATGGACCTCATTAACAATTGCAGTTCTAAATAACTATGTACAAAATGCCTATGACTGATCATTATATGAAGTTTGAGGAAAGTAATGGTGATTTTAAAGGAATCATAATAAAACATGTATGTTTCTGGATAGAGAGACAAAATAGCATTAAAAAACATTGATTCTGTTCCAATTAATGGCACAGTCATTGATGGAATAATTATTAGGGAAACAACTTGAAAAACAGTTCCAAATTTATCTACAGGTTAATAATAGGCAAGATTCAAAAGATGAAGTTTATGGAGGGAAGGTGGTGCAAGTATATGGGGAAGTACATGCTGAAATGAAATGCAGATGCATTTACAACTCAAAAGACATCCAGAATAGGCTTGTGGCATGTAGAACACTTGAAATTTGGAAATTGAGACAGCATAAATCACTGATAGAAATAAATGATTATGTAATAAGTATCATTAACTAACTTTGGAAATAAATGACTAATAATTTGAGAAAGTATTCCACATGTTTAAAATGACGAATGGAACAATTAAGTCACATTATTCAATAGAAAATGTGGGTACAAAATCTCAGGATTAAGAAAACTTTCTGATTAGTAAAAACAAATGCCAACAGTTTAAGTATATGTACATTTGACTAAATACCTCTATTTAAAACCTCTATTGGACAAAACTATAAAAACTTATGGGATAAATCCAGAAAAATATTAATATTCACCAAAATGATAAAGTACCTTTAGGATATTTTACTTTCTTTTATCAGTTTCTATATTCTAAGTTTTAAAAGGATAATGCAATATTTTAAAATATTGTACGGTCATCAAAAATAAACTGGAAAAAGACCAAATAACAATTTTCAAAATGATTATATAATAATATGTGGGATTCTAATAATCATGGAAAGGATATATAATTCAATATTAGATGGTCAAAAGGCAAGAACATATACTTTTCAAAAGAAAAAAAAATCCTATGACTAATCACTTTATGGAAATGTACAAAACCACTGGAATTTAAAGACATACAAACTAAATAAAATACCAACTTTTATTTTCCAAAAGAACGTAAATGAAAATTTGTAAATTGATAGCTGAATTAGAAAATAACATATGCCATACGTGTCATTATAAGTAGTTTTAAAAATATTTCATTGATTTAGCAATAATTTGTTCAACATGTCATTAAGCAGTGTGTTAGGAACCTTGGATACACAGAGGAAATGAAAAAAAATTAGATACTAGCAAATATTAATCTACGTGTGACAGATATTAGTCTACATGTACTGGTGTGGCATCTTATTTTTATTTTATATGATCAAATAAGATTTATTTTAAAGTCCTCATTCCCCCCAGGCTGGTGAAAAATTGCAAATCAGTTACTTTGGGAAGTTATTTCCATAAGTCTTCCACACCAGAGCTTTCTAGCTTCTAGGAGTATATACAGTGGCAAGGTGATAAGGTGGTTACAAGGAGGACTGCACTGGTTATCAGTCGTCTATTCAAAGAGATTACCAGGTTACTACTGGACCAAGAGACACTCGGGTGCAGCAACTTTACCATTCACACCATAATGAGATGTTGGAATCTGGGGCTTCCCATCTGGCAGCTTATCTCCCTATACAGCTATAGACTTAGGAGTTTCCTGTTTCCATGAAGTGTTGCCAGGGCTCAGGACTGGGTTCTTGCTCCCCCAAGATCTACAAACATTCCTTCATCCTCAGACTTCCCAGACACTCAACTTCTTTCTTTTATTAGCTCTTCTACATAAACCCTCTAAGTTACCCCATGGGCTTTAGCTTTTCAAACACACTCAAGCAAATCAATCAGTCTTACAATCTTCTTTTATTTTTCTCCTGCCAATAACTTCCAAGAGATCAAGAAACAGAAACAACAACCTGCAAGAAGCAAGAGAGAAAGGAATGCCAGGGAACTATCAATGATGAATGTCATCGGTTTATCCATCCTTCTTCCTAATGAAATGCTTGATGTCCCACCATGAGAAAAACCAGACAGCATCTATTGTGCATCGCCGCAAAGACTGACTGCCAGCCCATAAAATATGATGCTTTGTGGTAGAGAAAGCCCCACAGGTCCTCATGGGTTTTTTGGGTTTTGTTTTTGACTTATTTATTTGGCTGCATCAGGTCTTAGTTGCAGCACATGGTATCTTCGTGGCTGTGCACAGACTCTAGCTCTGGCACGGGGTTTCCCTGAGTGTGTGGGACCAGCTGTAGCAGTGCAGACTTTGTTGTTCTGCAGCATGTGGGAACCTAAGTTTGCTGACCAAGGATCCAGCCTGTGCCCCCTGCATAGCAACGTGGATTCTTAACCACTGGACCACCAGGGGAGTCCCCTTCATGGAATCTGATGCTACCTTCCACATTTGTGGCCCAGCAGATGCTCCGTAATACAAGCAGTAGAGTGATATGTATTATGGTGGAGAAGTACTGTAAGCACAAGTAAAGAAAATCGGGATGAGAGGGTTGGGCAAGTATCCTTTCAGGTTAACACAAAGTTGCAGGCCGATTCTTCAAAAACCTGTCAGTATTTCCAAATTGTCATTGTCTTGCAACAGGATTACCCGTGAATCTGTTTCATTTACTCTGTATTTTGCAGTATTTCTCAAGAGGAGTTTTATAAAAGGAAAAAGAGAATTCAGAGAACTAACGACATTTAAAATCAAGTGAGGAAATGCTGTATGGCAAATCCTTTCTCCTATTGTAATATTAGATCTTCCTCCTGGCTATAGATACCAACTACCCCTTAATAGAGACCCTTCAACCATACCCTTCTAAGCCATGAGGCTGTATATAATTTTTGACAATTTTTATATAAGACATGAGTATATTAATTATTCAGAAATAGATCATGAAGTCTACTCAAACGTTCCTAAACAGTCGTCAGTCAGTCAGTTCAGTCACTCAGTCGTGTCCGACTCTTTGCGACACCATGAATCGCAGCATGCCAGGCCTCCCTGTCCATCACCAACTCCCGGAGTTTACTCAAACTCATGTGCATCGAGTCGGTGATGCCATCCAGCCATCTCATCATCTGTTGTCCCCTTCTCCTCCTGCCCCAAATCCCTCCAAGCATCAGGGTCTTTTCCAGTGAGTCAACTCTTCACAAGAGGTGGCCAAAGTACTGGAGTTTCAGCTTCAGCATCAGTCTTTCCAATGAACACCCAGGACTGACCTCCTTTAGGATGGACTGTTTGGATCTCCTTGCAGTCCAAGGGACTCTCAAGTGTCTTCTCCAGCACCACAGTTCAAAAGCATCAACTCTTCAGCGCTCAGCTTTCTTCACAGTCCAACTCTCACATCCATACATGACCATATGGAAAAACCATAGCCTTGACTAGACAGATCTCTGTTGGCAAAGTAATGTCTCTGCTTTTTAATACGCTATCTAGGTTGGTCATAACTCTCCTTCCAAGGAGTAAGTGTCTTTTAATTTCATGGCTACAATCATCATCTGCAGTGATTTTGGAGCCCAAAAAAATAAAGTCAGCCACTGTTTCCACTGTCTCCCCACCTATTTGCTGTGAAGTGATGGGACCTGATGCCATGATCTTAGTTTTCTGGATGTTGAGCTTTAAGCCAACTTTTTCACTCTCCTCTTTCACTTTCATCAAGAGGCTCATTAGTTCCTCTTCACTTTCTGCTATAAGGGTGGTGTCATCTGCCTATCTGAGGTTATTGATATTTCTCCCCACAATCTTGATTCCAGCTTGTGCTTCCTCTAGCCCATTGATTCTCATGATGTACTCTGCATATAAGTTAAATAAGCAGGGTGACAATATACAGCCTTGACTTACTCCTTTTCCTATTTGGAACCAGTTTGTTGTTCCATGTCCAGTTCTAACTGTTGCTTCCTGATCTGCATATAGGTTTCTCAAGAGGCAGGCCACGTGGTCTGGTATTCCCATCTCTTTCAGAATTTTCCACCCATGCAGTCAAAGGCTTTGGTATAGTCAATAAAGCAGAAATAGACGCTTTTCTGGAACTCTCTTGCTTTTTCGATGATCCTGCAGATGTTGGCAATTTGATCTCTGATTCCTCTGCCTTTTCTAAAATGAGCTTGTCCTAAACAAGCATGGTACCTAAAGCCAGGGCAGCTATAATAGGACAGCAGATGATTCATGTAAAGACATGGCATGGAAATCTCTGCTGAAAGAGGTTTCCACTGGTATCCTTGCTAGCAAGTTATTGAGTCTTTATTTTCTCAAAGTTACTGAATGGAATATAGTCTTGTGATGGACCTGAGAAAAGGAAATGTGTGAAAACTAGAGAGCTGGTCTGTGTCACCACTCATGCAGTTTAAGTAAATCTGGGGTTGGTTGGTTGGTGGGTGGATTTTTCACCATCCCATGGACACATAATCTTTCTTTCCAGAAAACTCAGAGACATTAGTTGAGCCTTGTTCCCCAGAATCTATTTTGTTCAGAGTCCATGAGTTGCTGTTGATTACAAGACAGAGGTTAAGAGGCTTAGTCACCATTAGCCATTGTCTGTACAGCATGCTCTGTGAGAGCTAAAAACTCTTATATGAGGATATCTCAACTACAGAGCTGCCATTTGTCATCTATCAATATGCTTTACTTCCTAGATGTAGTGTTTATTGTTCCATTTTAGATAACCTATGGTAATAATAAAAGAAACATATCATCCCTCTGGGCAAGATAGATGGACCACAGCAAGAGTATGACTTAATGCATACATCTATTCTTTGGGTCCTTGGTTAAAGGGATGTATATCCTTCAGTGTTACACCTATTGGTAACATCCTTTACAACAACCAGAGTACTACACGTGTATAATATATCTAGTGTCACAACACATTCAGCAGTATCAATCGCTACTGCTTGATGGCCCAAAAGTTCCAACCCA